ATGAAACAGCAAACTGTTTCACTTGTCTACCTGGGGGTGCCACTTCACCTGGGGGTGCTTGGAGTGCAGGTGCTCTAGGGGAAGTGCTCATCCCCTTCAGCAGGCCCCAGAGAGCTGTGTGCGCATTCGCATGCACTTGTCTAAATCAGGTTTCCCAGAGAGGTCTGTCTGTCTGTTCATCCAAGTCAGGTCCCCAGGCATGTATGTGTCTGTCTGATTGGCCAAGTCAGGTCCCCAGGGAGATGTGTGCACGTGTCTGTCTGTCTAGCCATCCAAGCCAAGATCCCAGGGAGACGTATGTATATGTCTCTGTCCGCCTTCCTGTCTGTCTAAGTCAGCCCATCAGGGAGATACGTGAGCACGGGTGGGTGTGTCTAAATCTGGTCTCCATGGAGATGTGTGTCTAAGTCAGGTCCCCAGAGAGGCTGAGGTGGGCTAAGCCCCCTCTGCACATCTATGGAAGCAAGGTCTCCTAGAGAGTTTACTTTCCAAGAGTTACACCCCCTGGGAAGTGCCTGGGAACACCTTTTGGGGACCTCTGGGCAGGATCAGGTGCAGCAGCTCTTCTGGAGGGGTGGGGGGACATGACAGAGCCTTGCTGAGTCTGTCAGGGGGTTGAGCAGGTTTTGGTGACACAGACACATTCGGGAAGCATAATCCCGATAATACTCGGCCCTTCCCTAGTCTCTCCCGTCCAAAGGGCTCCAAGTGCTGTACAGACACTGCTTTGTTAAATGTCACAAGGGCCCTGTGAAACAGGTCAATGGATATACAGGGACCACTTCCCTCAACACTTAAATGCAGCCACCTCTAGGGTGAAAAGTGGCAACTATTTAAAAACGCACCACAACACTGCATGGCAGTTTAGGTCAGGAAGTGAAGAAGAATCCCCGGTCAAATTGCAATTGCAGAGGGCATTGAGCCAGGATACCTCGGTTAACACAACTCTTCCAAGTCCCCACTCTGTGGGGTTCATGGGCACAAGGGGTCAGGACTAGACCTGGTCAAAACATTTCCCACAGCACAGTTCTCCATCGAAAAAAAGCACTGTCGTCAAAATCAAAATGTGTCGCTTTCAACAACATTTTCAATGGGAAGAAGTCCAAATGAATCCCATTGACTTTCCTGTTGCATTTTGAAAAGGCGAAATGTTTCCTTTTGGCTTCCTCATTTTGATTAATTTCATGTAGACATCCTAAAACATTCAATATCTACTCAATTCTATACTGTGTTAAATGCCTGATATTACAACACTAATATTTTAATAGAACATTAACGTCTACATTCAGTGAATCAAAATGAGAAAGTCAAAACTGAAATGTGTGACCTTATTGAAACAAAATGATTCCACATTATCAGAATGAAATATGTTCGCAGCCCCAAGTAGACGCCGATTGGAATTTTTGTTTTGTTACAAATTTCAATTTTTTTTAATTCAGAACAAAACCTGTTTTCGAAATGTGGGAATTTCCCGTGGAACTGAGCTTCCAGGCCCCTGCCCGCTGGAGTCAGGCTCTGCATTGTGCGTGGCGTGGAAGAGCTGGCAATACAGCACCACACTGAGCTTGCCGTTCCAAAGGCAGAGCACCATTTTCTGAAGCACGGCCCCCAGTTCCTGTAATACTTGGGTTTTCCTTGAAGGTCTCCCACCCCACCTGGCCTGGCCACACTTAGCCTGGGAAATATGATGGGATCACAGCACAAGGACTCTACTTTGCCTCTACATGGCCTTGCAACAATACCCGGCTGCAGCACGGAAATGAGCTCTGCCGCTGGGACCCCAACGGCTTGCTGTGACCTCCGCTCTGCTCCACGTACCTTAGTGCCTGGTTCTCCTTCTGCAGCATCTCATGGGCCGCCTTCAGCTGCTGCATGGCCTCCTTCTGCTGCCTGTACTCATCCACCAGCACCTGCTGCTCCTTGCATTTATTGGTGAGCATCCAAATCATCTGAAATGAGCAGCAGGAACACAGCTTCGGGATCAGGAGACAAGAGGGACGTCTCAGCCACCAGCCTCAGACCAGGCTTCCTATCCCCCTCACTGCTGCACACACAGGCTGCAAGTTGCCCAGGCCCACTGTCAGGTCCCTACTGCCATGGTAATGAGCCAACCAAGTGATGACCCACTTGCACTTACATGGGGGTCTGAGCGAACTCTAGGGCAATAGCGCTGCCAGGGAATGAGGAGACCAGGCCCCTGAAAGCCACCACATGGTCCCTAGGTCCAAACAAGCTGGAGCACTGACAGAACCAGAGCCTGGCTTCAGCACCCCGCACCCCTCTGTGCGTTGGTTGAGCTCTGACCTTCTGGTTGCTGAGGCTGTTCTTGGCCATCTGCTTCTCATTGTGCTCCAGCATCTCCAGCTGCTTCTGCATCTCGGCCTGGGCCTCCTTCAGCATGTCGTTCTCCTGGATGAGGTCGTAGCTGCGATCGGACATCTTGGCCAGCTGGACGTTGATGGCGACGTTCTCGCGGATGGTGCGCTTGGTGGTCTCGGCCATCTGGCTGTTGGAGACCTTGCGGAACTCGGCTGCCACCACGTTAACACGCTGCATCATCTCCTTCTTCAGCCTGCAGGGGTGGGGCGTGCGCGTACGCACACAGGACACACAGAGAAGGACGTCACTCTTGGGGCAGGGCCCACCACAGCTGCTAACGCCTTAGCCCCAGCAAATCGGACCCCAGTCCAAAGGATTAGCACCAGCCCGAGGGAAGGAGTGCTCCTGGCACTCCACCCACTAAGAGAGCTTTCACACCATCCCACTCACCCCCAGGCCCGCTGAAGGAGCTCTCCTGCCTGTCTATTGGGGAAGCTCTCCCAGCACCTCCCTAGATGGAAACTCTCCCTGCACAGCACCCATCCACCACCAGGCTGCAGAAGGTAGCTTTCTTGGCATCCCACTCACCCAAGGGAGAGAACCCTCCCTGAATCCCAGCCGTCTGCCCTTCTTGAGTACCATCAGTCCAGGGTCTCAAACCACTTCCCAGTCATCAAGGCTCACTCTTCCCCCCGAATATCATCCCCATCTTACAGATGGGAAACAGGTGAAATGACCTGCTCAAGGTCCCACAGCAAGTCAGTGGCAAAGCCAGGAACAGAAACCATGGCTCCCAAGTCCCACACTTGGCACTAACCACGAGACCACACTCCCACCTTCAGACTCCAGTGAGGAATTACACACAGTCAGTCTCCGTCTGGCACTGACCTGTCTTTGTCCAGCACAGCTTTCCTCTCCAGGTTATAGATATACTCCTTGTGATCGTCCTCTTGTTTCTTCAGCTGCTCCTCTAGGGCTGCAAACTTGCCCATGAGCTCATCCTTCTGGATCCTGAACTCCTCCAGCGCAGCCAGCTTCCCACCTGCCACAGAGATCACTTAGGACCCCAGAAGGACCACGCTTAGCCACGGGGTGGGGGGAAGCAAAGTGCTTCAAGCCGGCAAACCCCACTGTGAGATTCTCCCCAACTGCTCTTCACACCACACTCCTATTCTGCATCTTCTTAACCACCCTGATCGCAAACTCTGTGAGGCCAGGACTGTTTCTTTAGTACTTTTGTACAGCACCTAGCACAATGGTACTGCTGTAATATCAATAATATAGGGCCAGCATATGAGGAAAGCTTGCCCTGAGGCTGCCCAGGCTGTACCTGCTATGGGGACCAGCAATAGACAGGAGCCTCCAGCACTGGAAAGGAGCCTTCCACAACCCACATTGGGGTGGAAAGAGAGGGAGGCGCAAATGTGTATACATAGGGTTACCAGAGAGCAACTGTGAAAAAACGGGACGGGGGTGGGGGGTAATAGGCGCCTATATAAGAAAAAGTCCCTTTAAAAACGGGACTGTCCCTTTAAAAACGGGACTGTCCCTTTAAAAACGGGACATCTGGTCACCCTATGTATACACCACCTCTGTCTCCACACCCCCATGTGTCCTTCACCACATGCAGCTGGAATTAGAGCTGGTCAAAAATTTTCCAGTGAAACTCTTCTACAGAAAATCAAGTATTTGGATAAATGAAAATTTAAGATTTTTCATCAGAAAACTCAAAAACCTTCTGCCAAAGGCCCAATTTTTTTTCTTTTTGGTTTTCAGCAGCTTTGGGCCAAATAAATAAATCATTTTTCAAACCCTTTTTATTACTAAAAGTTGAAGTGTGCTGCTGAAAATGAAAAACAAAAACTGCTGAAAACATTTTCATCACAAAAAAAAAAAAAGTCTGAGGGTGGGGGGTACAAATTCCCACCCACTCCAACCAGAATATTTCCACTGACTGTTCTCCCAACAGCGTGTGGCCACAGCCCCAGGGTGGAACTGTTCAACCCTCAGAATTCCAGGCTCTGTCCCTGCACGGCTGCACCAGCAGCCCCCCACCCCCGGAAGGACCATGGGGCAAGGGGGAAGAGGAAGGGGCCAGTCTGAGCCAGGGCACATTACTTAGCAGCATGTTCTCCGAAGTGAGCTGGTCCTTGGTCTCCTGAAACTCATGTCGAACCTGGGCCAGCTGGGCCTCGAAGGCGTCCTTCTCGGATTCTTTGGCCTGCTGCAGGCTGACCAGCTGGTCATTGAGGTCAGCGATCTCATCAACCCGCTGGTTCAGGGTCTTCTTGAGAAAGGCCACGATCTCCTTGTTGTCATTGGCCATCTGATCGTACTCCACCCTGAAGAGGGTCTCGTTCACCTGCAGCTCGTCCCATTTCCGCTGGTACCTGCCAGGGGGAAGCAGCGCTGAACAGGCAGTCAGACAGCAGTCTCCAGGATGGGCTGACTGCCTGCCCCTCACCTATTTATAGGTTGGTCCAGTCTCTCCCATTGCCTCGGCACAGGCACGGGGCGTGCACAGGAGCACAGCTCACAGCCTGATTGCAGTGGGACTGGAGAGGGGAACTATTCATGGCTAGGGCCCTACCAAATTCACGATCCATTTTGGTCAATTTCACGGTCACAGGATTTTAAAAATCATAAATTTCATGATTTCAGGTATTTAAATCTGAAATTTCACAGTGTTGTAATTGTAGGGGTCCTGACCCAACAAGGAGTTGTGTGTGTGTATGGGGGGGGCGGGTGGTCACAAGATTATTGGGGGGGGGGGGGTTGCAGTACTGCTACCCTTACTTCTGCACTGCTGCTGGCAGCGCTGCCTTCAGAGCTGGGCAGCTGGAGAGCGGCGGCTGCTGGCAGAGCTGCCACCAGCAGCAACGCAGAAGTAAGGCTGGCATGGCATGGTATTGCCACCCTTCCTTCTGCACTGCTGCCTGCAGAGCTGGGCCCCTCAGTCAGCAGCTGCTGCTCTCCGACAGCCCAACTCTGAAGGCAGCAGCACAGAAGTAGGGGTGGCATGGTATGGTATTGTC